GCTTTTGGAGTTTGGTCAACAGATCCATGCCCACATTCTTAAAACCGGGCACAAACCAGATGTTTTCTTGGTTTCATCCATGATTGATATGTATGCAAAATGTGGAAGGTTAGTAGATTCTTGGACGATTTTCAGACACACTAATGTTCAGAATGTCGTGTTATGGACTTCAATGATATCTAGCTGCGCTTCACATGGGGGAGGCACGGAGGCCATTCGGCTTTTTGAGTTGATGCTCAATGAGGGGATTAGACCAAATGAAGTGACTTTTGTTGGGGTTTTAACCGCATGCAGTTATGCCGGTTTGTTCAAAGAAGGCTGCAAATATTTTAAGTTAATGAAAGAAGTTTACGGCATCAAGCCTTCAGTTGAGCATTTCACATCCATGGTAGATCTTTTTGGTCGTGCCGATCGGTTGGATATGATAGAGGGTTTTATTTATGAGAACGGTATCTCTCATCTAAGTGCTGTATGGAAATCATTTCTATCTTCCTGCCGAGTTCATAGAAACATTGAGATGGCTAGTTGGGTTTCTGAAAAACTACTTGAACTTGAACCGTTTGAAGCCGGACCTTATGTTTTGTTATCGAACACTTGTGCAACCGGTCTTAGATGGGAAGAGGCAGCTAAATTGAGGGCTTTGATGAAAGAAAGGGGAGTTAGGAAAAGCCCTGGTCAATCTTGGATCCAATTGAAGAACATAGTCTACACTTTTGTTATGGGAGATAGGTCTCATCCACAGGAATTTGAAATTTATACTTACTTGGACAAGCTAATCAAAAAGCTAAAGGAAATTGGGTATTCGATTGATGTAGATATGGTGATGCAGGATGTAGAAGATGAACAGAAAGAATTGCTTTTAGGGTTCCATAGCGAGAAACTTGCAATTGCTTATGGTCTTCTTAGCACTAGTTGTGGAACACCTATTCGGGTTATGAAGAACCTCCGAGTTTGTACAGACTGTCATAACTTCATCAAGTATACTTCTTATCTTTTGAAGAGGGAAATAATTGTCAGAGATATTCATCGGTATCACCATTTTAGGGATGGGAAATGTTCTTGTGCAGACTACTGGTGAATAAGACTAGTGACTAGTCTATGCATATGATCTACAAGTTATGAATCATTCTAATATGCCTGATTTGGTTGCCATCACTGAGAGACCAATTGTATTGATCCAAATCTTAGGATTAAGGTGGAGGCTGTCTGGTATCAAATGCTGATGAAATTTTTACAAAACCCACAAACTTCGGTGGTTGATGGTGGTAGTCAATTTTAAGGGAGAGGGATTTTGATGGTTGAGAGTTGCAGGGGAGATGGATTTTGCTTGGGGGAAGAAGAAGAAGAAGATGAAGAAGAAGCAGATGGACCCTTAATTTCCTATGTTTCTCTCTTTGATAGCTCTAATCCTAAAGTGATTCAAGTTGGGTTTGGAGTAGGACAATGCAGAAGCAATGAATCATGGTTGCAGAAGTAGTTCTATGGTTAACGAGAGAGAAAAAGGGATGAGAAGGTGAGAGAGAGAGAGAGAGGAATCGTTCCATGGTTGATGAGGGAGGTGTCTGGCTGCTAATGGTGGTGGCCATAGTCGTGGGAATTGTTTCAGCTGGTGGCGAGGAGGTAGCGAGGGGCTGTTGTTGTGGTGGCCATACATGTTGGTCTTGTGCGATATTTATAAATTTAATTAGTTTCTATTACTTTATTATATCATCTTGTGATTAATTTAGATCTCAACCACTATTACATTTTTTGGGCATTATATATATTCTTTTCATAAAGGATAATGCAGCTTATTTATGTCAAAGAGGGCTTTTTTTTATTGGTTTTATTTTTTTTTAATTGTTTTTTTTTGTTATTTTTTTTTTTTTTTTTTTTTTTTTTGGGAGGGGGTTTGTAGAATCTTAAATAAAATTGATGCCATTGGGAGTTGAGTGGGTTTTTTTAAATATTTTTTGTGAGTGAAAAAGGTTGAATGAAAATGTCGTGCACCATCGTAGTGAAGTTTTTCTTTTAAGGTAGTGGTTTCTTATAACCTAATGCAACCTTGAAATTGGTTTAACAGGTACATTGAGGGGCAAAAAATAGTGTAGGATGTATAATTTTTTTTTTCGTTTTTTTTTTTTTTGATTTTCTTTAATGTCACTGATTAAAAGTGTAATTTTAATTTTGCAGGAAAATGTAAATTTTATAAAATTATAGGAGACAAGTGCCATTAACCCAAAATGTAATATTATCTTATGTTTGTATTATATATATGAGAAAAGGTTGTTTTCATATAGATTTGAAGGTTGTTAGTAGTACTTGCAGTACTTTTTTTTTTTATTTTGATTATTTAAGTGGTTCATCTTTTAAATTCTACATATATTTGTAAAAGACAAAAAAATTAAATTGATCAAACAATCACACAGATGTAATTATATAATTTTGTCATATTTATTTTTAAAAAATAAATGTAGTCATCTAATTTAAATATTACATCTTTTATTTTTTTAAAGACTTGCATAAAAAAATTAAACTTAAACTATCAATATGTCTTAATAGTTGTATTTAATTCCCAATCAAATCTTATTGAAAATAAATCTTTGTAAAATTATCACTAAAAATAATTTTTTGTGATAATTTTTTACATATGTCGCTAAAAATTAACAATTAATGACTTTTTTGTCATGATTTTTATAAATTATCACTAAAATTTACAATTAATTATGTTTTTTTTTATGACAAACTTTTTAAATTGTTATTGAAAGTTAAAAATTAATGATATTTTTTGTGACAATTTTTAAACTGTAGCTAAAAATTAATAATTAGTGACATTTTTTAATAGTGTTTAATGAAAAATGTCATTAGTTCTTACCAGACCTATTAAACAAGTTTACCTATCAGAACCTGTACACAAGTCTCAAAAATTAATTTTACTTTATCACTTAAAATTATTGTGGATAGGGATGAAATAAAATAAAATAAAAAAATTTAAAGGGTGAATTACACTAACCGTCTCTATAATTTGGCGTTTGTATCACTTTGATTATTGACTTTTCAATTGTGACATATTTGACTATGAATTTTGAATCTTATTCCACATAAGAACAATTGAAGATATCATTGCTCAATTTTAAAGGCAAAGTCGTCAATTTGATGAAATATAAACTAATTTGACAAAAATAAAGCCAAAAAAATATTTTTTTAATTTTAAAAATAATTTTCTATCTACCAAAGATAAAATTAAGTGAAATTGTCAAATCTTTTAGACATTTAATTTTTATTATGTGCTTAGATGATGATCATGTAATGGGTAGTTGTTATGCTTTTAAAGTGTAATCGATGTATTTAATACATGAAATGTTTTTAGTTTTGAATTTTTTGATTTAATTGATTAATTTAATAATGATATCAAAGTTGTAGTTATATTTGACTTTTGAAAAAATAGAAACTAATTTAATAAAAATAAAAACAACCATTCATTACATGATCATCATCCAAGCACATAATAAAAATTAATTTGGTAAAAAAATAAATAAATAAATGTCTAAAAAGTTTATTAATTTTACATAATTTTGTCTTTAGTGGATAGAAATAATTTTTAAAAATTCAAAAATATTTTTTTGACATTTATTTTTGTCAATTTAATTTATATTTTATCAAATTGACAATTTTGCCCTTGAAATTGAGCAATGGTATCTTAAATTGTCCTTTTTTGAAACAAGATTCAAAATTCAACGTCAAATGTGTCATAATTGAAAAGTCAATGACCAAAGTGATACAATGCCCAAACTATAAGGACCGTTAATGTAATTCATCCAATTTTAAATTTTAAAAGGGTAAATTACACTTTGCCTCCCTAAAGTTTCACTCATTTCTCACTTTGGTTTTTTAAGTTTAATTTTTCTCACTTTGACTCTTCATGTTTGCAATCATTTCCACTTTGGCCTTTTAAGTTTAATTTTTTTTTTTTTACTTTGGCCCTTCATGTTTGCAATTCATTTCACTTTGGCCCTTCATATTTGTAATCATTCCCACTTTATTCCTAAACTAACTTCCATCTCAAAATCTAACAGAATCTGCTACATCACTAACACACCAGCTCCATGTGAGATGCAAAAAATTCACTAAAAATGCAAAAAATAAAAAATAAAAAATAAAAAAATTAGAATTTTTTTTAGTCTTTAGTGAACTTTTTTTTCAAATTTATTCATGAACGTTATTACATTATAGATGCATCTAGATTAGATGCAGCTAAAAAAACAAAAACAAATTTAACTAAAAAAAGAAAAAAATTTACTAAAAGCAAAAAAAAATGCAAATATACTGACTCAAACACCTGTGTTGTCAATTCTGAAACGAAAAATTTACTATCGTTTTTTTTCGTCTTTAGTAAATTTTTTTCTTTTTAGTTAAATTTGTCTTTATTTTTTTTAGTTGCATCTAATTTAATAATTTTTATGAATAAATTTGAAAAAAAGTTTACTTAAGTCTAAAAAAAATTCTAATTTTTTTGTTTTTTATTTTTTACATCTTTAGTGAATTTTTTACATCACATATGGAACTGATGTGTTAGTGATGTGACAAATTCTGTTACTTTTCTAAATGAAAGTTAGTTTAGGAGTAAAGTGGGAAGGATTATAAACATGAAGAGTTAAAATGAGAAAAATTAAACTTAAAAGGTCAAAGTGGGGAAGGGTTGTAAACACGAAGAGTTAAAATGAGAAAAATTAAATTTAAAAGGTCAAAGTGAGAAAAAATTATAAACATGAAGGATCAAAATAGAAAAAATTATAAATATAAAAGGTTAAAGTAAGAAAAATTAACTTAAATAGTCAAAATAAAAAATAAGTGAAACCTTAGGAGAGATACAGTGTAATTTACCCATTTTAAAAAGTTGAAGGATAAAAGGTGTAATTATCAATTTAATTAATTAATAAGCAACTTTACATGCTTTTTCCAACATCAACGATTGGGTTGGGATGAGTAATTGACCCACGCACGGACCCCCCACCAATTTCCTTTTCTTTCCTTTCCTTTCCTTTCCTTCGCTTCCCTACTAGGCTACTGCTATTATATCATAAGATAAAATTAGGGTTTACAGATTTCCACTCTTGTCCGGCTCTTCTATTCTATCACTTTTTCCAACCTTATACGAGAGAGAGAGAGAGAGAGAGAGAGAGAGCGGGAGCAAGCAAGGAAGGAACGATACGATGACGGGGAAGGCGAAGCCGAAGAAGCACACGGCGAAGGAAATCGCGGCGAAGGTAGACGCAGCCACCACGAACAAGGGCGGAGGCAAGGCGGGGCTGGTGGACAGGTCAGGGCTGGACAAGGGAGGCCACGCCAAGCTCGAATGCCCTCTCTGTAAGGTCACCGCACCAGACATCAAGTCGATGCAGATTCACCACGACGCTAAGCACCCTAAGATCCCCTTCGATGAGTCCAAGCTCAACAATCTCCACGCCGCCGTTCATGTCGCCGAATCCTCCTCCAAGCCCCGCCCTGGCATCCGCGGCAGCCTCAAAAAATGAAAAAAAAACTCTTCTGCTTTTTTCATCACTCAAATAACGCCCCTCTTAATTATGTTATATGTTGTTATGTCTTGGTTTATGGTTATCGACTCGAATTTCTATGCTTCTATTTCTTGGTTTCTTCCTTCTTGATCTTAGTTTTGATCATACTTATGGCAGATATATATATATATATATATTGTCTTCTCTTGTATTGATTAAACTGATTATTTAAGTTGGATTCGAGATTTTGGGTTAAGAATTCCATTAATTTTGGTGTCTGATTGAGTATTTGCTTGCACTGGCTATTTCTAAGATCGTTGTGTATGAAGTCAAAGACTTTTTAATTATAGGGGAAGCAGATATATTTGACTCTGTATTCTTCAAAACTGAATAAAGTTACTGAGCAAAACAATTATAAGCCTAAGAACCCCCTTAGTTCTTGTTCACCTTGCAATTTTAAGCCTAACAATGGACAGACTTAACACAGAAGGGCATAGGTGAGCTCAAATAAGGCCTTTTTTTCATGAATAAAAATAAAAATAAAAGTAAAATCTATTTTGATTTCTCAATGCCAAATTCCATCACAGAGAGAGAGAGAGAGAGAGAGCAGAAAACTCTACTTTAGGAGTGACCATGTAACCATACCTTCAATGAATATATATATATATATATATATAAGGTATCCAATAATGGAAAATAAATAATAAATACAAAATTGCATGCCTATAGATTTAAGTAATAATGGAAAATAAATCGAAAGTGCAAAATTGCAGGACATTAATAGATAGATACCTTTCATCACTTGAGAGAGGTTGGTAGAGTCCACCACCCAAAACTCTGCTTTAGGAGCAAACTGAAAGGAAATAAGTTCAAGATGGGAAGCTTCCCTTGAACCTAGAATAAACAGACGATGATGATGACGACGAGGAGGAGAGCAAATTTGAATGATTCATGATGGGAAGGTGGGTTTCATAAAGACAACTGCCATCACTTGTATTACTTTCCCTAAGCTGCTGTCCTCCAAGGCAAGACTGAACAGGGCCAAATGACTTTCCATGATTATTACTACAACTGAAGCCACCTGGTTCCACTCTTGCAGATTGTCGGATAGTCAAAGGTAATGACATTGGGAAATCCAGCACAACTGGAGCGATAGAACCCGCTGCCTGCATGCCACTGTGGGTAGGATTCAGTACAAAAGAGCCATATGGCATGGAATTTTGTAAGAAAGGGAACTTCATTTGGTACATGGAAGAAACTCCGAATTTCACATCACTCCCAAAATTCCCGAGTAAGCTCGGCCTCCTCAGAAATTGATTTCCCGGATCAAGATTTCTTGCAAAACAAATTTGATCTTGAGCATGTGCTTCAGGCTTTGGGGAATTATCATTTTTGGGAAATGTCAAGGTGGGCAGAGTACTGGATACAGTCGGAGTTAAAATTCCACTGCCTGAGTTCACATGACCGCTGTTTTTGGCAACAGGGACTTCATGGTTGTGTTTTCCCTCGTACGCTGTAATTACAGATTTTAAATCTCGGCAGGCTCTTTCCACATGTTTCCTCACTGAGCATCCAGGATTGGTGCATTTGTAGTAGCTCCTGTAAGAGAGAAAGAACAACCAAGAAAACCAAAACTTTCAATCCATATATACATATCAACATAGATTTAGAGACTATAATCTGAATTCCAAAAATAAAATAAAATAGATTTAGAGACTATAATCTGAATTCCAAAAATAAAATAAAGTAAATGGTTTGAGTAACTTCCGGGAATAAGAAATGCAAAAATCAAATACCTAGGGTTTGGATTTCCTTTAACAACTTTTTGCCCATACTTCCGCCAGCGGTACCCATCATTAAGTATATCCACTTCACTCTCTATCTGGACAACCACTCTTGGTTCACGACCAACCCGTGATGCTAAATTTGTTTCAGTCAAGAAGCTATCTTTCTTTCTGAAATGAACAGTTAATGCAAAAGATGAATGCTTTTGTTGTTATGACCTGCAACCAAACAGCAGTTGTGGCGAGAGAGAGAGAGAGAGAGAGAGAGAGAGAGATGAGGGAGGGTGGAAATGTACCTTCTTTTCAACTCAAGTTCATTGTCATCAGCATCATCACCACGGCAAATACTTCCATGGGTGGCCCCATCTTCATTGTCATCATTGTGACTAGCAAGCATAGATGAAAGCTCTGGAGTCCCCACCGATTCAAATAATACACCCAAAGATTTTCCTTGAGCGGTTGACATTAACGGATTGGAAATCTCAGTAAGGGCAGATGTTGAAGACGTCCTCTTGAAACCATCAGCCCTCCACTCGGAACCAATTTTAACACAAGATCCATTGACTTCACCTGTCTCTTCCGACATCATCTCATTGTACGAAAATGAATATCCAAGTGCTGAGTGCCGATTAGGCTGAGGCTTTGGGTGACAATGAGCTCCCTTATAGATTATTTCTGTTATCTGACCATCATGGGAACGTTCTACCTTTTTCTTCACCTGGCAATATGGATTTGTGCACTTGTAGTAGCTCCGAGGATATTCACTACCTTTAACCTGTTTCTGCCCATACTTTCTCCAATTGTATCCATCTTCGGAAGTCTTTACAGCTTCCATTGTTGGGTATGTCCCTTTTTGGTCTCCCTCCAGAAGATGGTGTACCCCTTCATCATCTCCATGAATAGGTTCACTGTGCTGAGGCATTTGCTCACCAGCTGTACCAGTATGACATGACTGTGAAGCACAAAAGTCGGTGTTTAGAAAAATACTTCCAGAAACTTTTACAACTGATGATTCTGTAGCACAGTTCATTGTAATAGCTATCGGAGACTCAACTGGAAATTCAGAATCCATTGCTGGCTTTATGGGAGAAAGAATTTGACAATTCAAGACTCATCCCTAGCTCTATTCAACATGGTAAAGTGAAGAAATTTGTTCAAGTCAAACATAATCACATATACATTCAGATGTTTCTAGGATATCATGGTAATCTATTCAAATCAAACATAATTGCATATTCAAATCTTGCTAGGAAATCATGGTAAATATATAATCCATTGATAGAAACAATATGCTTTGCCATTGTGGAAGGGTTCACCAGGTGGTCAAAGGTTCACCAGAGAGTGACAAAACATGTTAGAAGCACCGCTGGAGGCACTAGAGTCCCAAGGGAGTGAACCGAAGAGAAATGGGTCATTTCAGCAGAGAGATAGAGAGAGGGAGCGGCAGTGGAGAATTAGAGTTTTTATTTAGTTTAGACAACAATTACACATGTAAAATACATACTACATATTCCTATAGGACATGAATCTAATCTAATACATAAGATGTCCGAAGCCATTAAACTTTCTCTTTCCATAATTAAGATTTAATATAATTAAAGTCTTTCTCTCTCCAATTGCTCTACCCTCCCTATCTATTTTTTATCTGTTTTTAGCTAAACTGTTACTTCTCTAATTTGATTAATAAGTAACTTGCCCCCTTCATGCAGAACATACCAACACGAGAAGGGAAATATCATCTTTTTCTCTAGAAGGAAGAGGAAATTTTGGAAAAAAAGTACCCAGAATCTACACACCAATACAATTATCCAAAAGGGAAAGTAAAAAAAAAAATCCTTATGAATGAGAACTGGAAGCGGGGTCCAAGATATCACAGTTCCAACAGTTTGGAAAAAGTAGAACCGTAAGAGTGGCAAAGATCAGATTGAACAACATCTATGATAGCGCCTCCAAACAGTCTAGGCATTCAGAAGCGAGAAATTCGACTTTGAATCTGTTGCCTGCCCATCATAAATCCTTCAAAAATAATTCTAGATTTAAGAAAAACTACACGCTTACCATGCAGAGATTCTTCTCAACATTCGTGGGAATACCTAGACAGCAAACTGACAGTCCACCATCTTGTTTGAGATTACATTTACCCTCAGTCACCAACGTGTCAAAAACAAATTTTCTTCTTCAAAGAATGTTCACAATCATTTCCTCACTCAGACCAGTTTGATAAAGCTAAAAGCCAGAATCTCAGGAACCATTTTTATTGAGCTAGATTGCATCAAGCAATCCTTCATGATCTTCAGTATTGCCTTAAAATTCTACATACTAATCACTGTCCTCCGAAGAGCACATAGCCAAAGCCTCTACAAAGCCTTTGTTCTGTGCATTTTTGCATATCCATAACCAAACCCCCATCCAATGGATTGGAGACTAAACTGCCCCTTTTTTTAATGTGTAATTTGAGGAATTACTACAACAGCATCCTCGTAGACTTCTAACTTGAGATGTAATAACCCCGTTTTCTCGTTAGTTTGAAAGGAAGGCATCCAAATTCATTGATAGCAAAATAACGGTACTTACCTTACTTTCTAAACCTGAGGTGCATGTCAAAGAAACTGGACTGCCATGAGGCTGGAGCCTGAAAGAGGAATCGTCATCACTCCCCCGGTCTGTATCTGCATCAGGGGTCGTTGAATCCAGCATTAAACTTCCATGATTGAGAAAGGGTGATTGAAAGGTTCTAGTAGTGGGAGATGGCTCTGCCTATGAAAAAACAAAATGAGAGACAGAGAGAACATATATCAAAGGATAGGCCATCCTTATGGTCTTGACAAAGCTAAAAGCCATAAGGCAACCTCGACGAGTAGCAACAACTTGTGATTGTGAAGCAGGGAAAGTTAACTGAAAGGAATGTCTTTTCCACTTCAGAAATTTCTAATAATCATTTTGTTCATTTTCCAACCAACAATTAGTATGTGTGCACTAAAAGCATCTCCAACGTTTCATCAAATCAACAATGCTACATATCACTAAATTTTTACCACTAATACCATCACTAATGATGTGGCAAGTAAAAAAATATATAAAAAATAAAAAAGTAAGACACAAAACACATGTGGCAGTGGGTGGGACCCACTGCCACATCCCTAGTGCAACCACTAATTAGTGGTCTGCATCATTTTTCTTCATCAAATTTGAGTAAAAATTTGATAAATAGTTTGATTTGATACAATACACTAACGGTTTTCATCAAATCTGCCGATCGTCCGGTGAAGAGTAAAATTTTATCAGATTCATTCCAAAATGCAGTTGTCCGGGAGGTCATCTAGCTGGTCGTCCACCAACAGTCATCTCCAAAATTTGATGGCTCGATTTGATGAAAGTTTTGATTTTACTCTCATTTGATAAGAGTTTGATGACACAGTTGGAGTAGAAAAAGTACGCATTTTTCACAAAATTCAAATCTGATGAAATATTTGAATAAGGGTTGGAGATAGTCTAACATATATAAAAGAAAGACAAAAAAATAAGGATCATTACTTAGAACCATGTTTAGATATGTATATAAAAAAACAAATAAAAAAATAAACTTAAATACGATAAAATTTCTACATTTACATCTCCCGTCTCCAATCCTTCGCCGATTTGTTTCATTAAACTCAAATTTGATGAATAAAGAGCTCAAATTCTTTCATCAAATTGGCAAAATTTTCATCAAATTAAGGATGAATCAAATCATTTATTAAAATTTTAACAAGTCATTTTTAGTCAAATTTGACTAAATTAGAAAAATGTAATAATTAGACATAATTTTCTCTCCAATTTTTTTATTTATTAAAACAGGTAGGACAAATTTGTAATTTTATTTTTAATAAATTTGATGGAAAAAAAAAAAGAAAAGGAAAAAAAAGAAGAAGATAAAAGCTAAAAAGAGAGAAAGGATTGAAGTCTTCCATACCTGATTAAGCTTTTAATCAAATTTTTACTCAAATTGTTTTCAATGAAGAGAAAATTAACAAGCAATCTATCAATCAGAGTCGGAAATTAGGCATTATCAAAGGAACATTACAAGGAGGGAGGGAGTAACCTGAGAATTGGAGAGCATGATGGGAGAGTCGAGCAATGCCGTAGGGCTAATACCGGCCGGTATAGTAATGTATGACGATCGAGCAGCGGGTGAAGTCAGAGGAGGACTTGTAGACCTAAGTACAACCGTGTTAATCCTCGGAGAATTGAATCCACATGTCGTAGCCCTTCGCTCAGCAATGCTGCCTCCTACATCATTCCGAACCCCAACCACCACAGTCTCAACAGAACAATACACATTATTATCAGAAACACTCGCAACAACTTTCTCATCAACCCTTTTACGGCCATTATTGTTGTTTACCAAATTCAAAGGAGGTGGATCATCAATTTTTTCCACATTCAGAGCTACATCAGACATGATATTAGGTTTTTCTTCAGAGACGAAGCTCTGAACCAGACCTTTGGGGCTCGAAACCATGAATCTTCAATCATCAAAAGTCCCTCGATTCTCTTCCATCTCTTGCATTTGAAGAATAACAAACCTCACATGCACATAATTGATAACAAAATTTACCAAATTCAGGGCATGAATTGGAGAGTTTTTTTTGAGTTTCAGCTCCAACAATGGTGGAGCTGAAACAATTTTTTTTTAAATCTCAACAATTCAAATTCAAAACTAGAACAAATTCAAAAGTTTAAAAACAAAAAATCCAATGCTGCTAACTATTATCAAGTCATTCAAATTCAATATTTTTTTGAGTTTCATGTTCCAACAATGGCGGAGAGAGAGAGAGAGAGTTTATAGTTAGCACGCTTGCTAATGATTTGCCGGGAAATCTTGAGCGGAGGTTTAGATTGATTAGATTATAAAATAGATATACAAAATCTAATTATACTACACACACACACACACACACACACACACACACATGTATTCTGTTTTGCTAATGGCGCCTGGACATCGTTCGTTGCGAGGGAAATGGCACGTGCCCAATACGACCCCCACACGTGTTGGTTCTGCCTCCTAATTTTCAGCTTTTTTATCTCCTCCACCAATCTATATTTAATAATTAATTAATGGGGTACCATCTTGATGATACTGCGAGCTTCACAGAAAACAGGTCGGGTTGATTCACGCTTTTTAAACCGTTGTTCGGTTGCCGAGTCTTCAGAGAAACCTGCACAAGAGTTCAACGAGAAATGGGGAGTCCCCCAACGAACCCTTCGACGAGCAAGTTAAAGAAGTGAGAGCGATGGATCATCAAGATAGAATGGTAATAGAGAACTTAACTTTTTTTTTTTTTTTGTCTTAGAAACCTGTTTATATCCTTTGATCATCATTTCCTTGTCCACTCCGAGTTGTCATGTTGGCCGAAAGTCTATGCTCTAGCTTGCCTTGTTCATGGTGAGATTGTTCTGTTCCGACGTGAAGGGTTATCGTAATAAATACTGCAGCGAAACTCATTAATGGCTGATGTGTGGTGTAATAACTCTGCAGGATCTTTGTCTGCTGATGTGGCTGGTTCTTCACTTGCTAAGTGTTTAGATGTCATTGGTGCTTGGTGTAACGTTGGGTTCCAAGAATGTTGGATTTTTGTATTTGAATTATGGATTGGGCCTTAAGTGGTGGGCCATATCCTTTATGGGTCCATCCATGTCAGTAGTCCTCTATTCCCAAATGTAGCTTCAGTCCAACGAAGGGAATAAGAAAGAAGACAGGGGTTGTGAGAGGTCGACGGAGAGAAGACCGACTAGGAGGTGGACCGACCGTGAGGAGTGCCGACTGCGAAGGGTGACTGAGTAGAGGACTGACTGCGAAGGGTGGGCGAGTGGACGAATCGACCGCGAGGAGGGCCGACCGCGAAGGGTGGGCGAGCGAACGGATCGACCGCGAGAAGGGTCGACCGCGAAGGGTGGACGAGTGGACGGATCGTCACTTGCCAAGTGTTTAGATGTCATTGGTGCTTGGTGTAACGTTGAGTTCCAAGAATGTTGGATTTTTGTATTTGAATCATGGATTGGGCCTTAAGTGGTGGGCCATATCCTTTATGGGTCCACCCATGTCAGTAGTCCTCTATTCCCAAATGTAGCTTCAGTCCAACGAAGGGAATAAGAAAGAAGACAGGGGTTGTGAGAGGTCGACGGAGAGAAGACCGACTGGGAGGTGGACCGACCGTGAGGAGTGCCGACTGCGAAGGGTGACTGAGTAGAGGACTGACCGCGAAGGGTGGACGAGTGGACGAATCGACCGTGAGGAGGGCCGACCGGGAAGGGTGGGCGAGCGAACGGATCGACCGCGAGAAGGGTCGACCGCGAAGGGTGGACGAGTGAACGGATCGACCGTGAGGAGGGTTAACCGGGAAGGGTGGCCGAGCGGACAGATCAACCGCGAGGAGTGTCGATCGGGAAGGGTGGCCGAGCGGACGGATCAACTGCGAGGAGGGCCGACCGCGAAGGGTGGCCGAGCAGACCAATCGACCTCGAGAAGGGCCGACCGCGAAGGGTGGCCGAGGGAGCGGATGGACTGCAAGGAGGGTCGACTGCGAAGGGTGACCGAGTGAGAAGAGAAATGGTGGCGCGCAGGGCTCGAGACGGGGCGTGCCATGTGATGATGTGAAGTGGAAAAGACAAGGAAAGGGAAAATAGTTGTGGATCGTGGTCGTACACGTGGCACCATCTCGTAACTAGGGAAGTGACGCGTTTGTAGGAAATAAAGGGATAGGCTGATATAGGGCGTGGAAGAGGCGGGGGCGAAAATTTTGAAAATTTTCAAACTAGCGAAATTTAATATTGACCCTTGGAATATAGGCAAGCTGTGGGCGTTTGGAGTTATTCGCTTTACCTACCTTTTTGCAAAAAAAAGCACATCCCATAAGTAAACCCATTTGTTTCGTGCGATACACTTCTGCAACACTTTGTGAACTTCCTTGTGCCAGCGTCTGAAGCTATTCGCAGACACATAGGAGAGATGGCTCGAGACGAAGTGCCACCCATGAGACTAGATTATTTGGGGGAAGACAACGCGGTGGAGTTGGCGGAATAGTACCGATCGGAGGGGGGGAGGAGAGGGGAGTTGTACAAGGGGCTTGAGCTCGTCTGATCACAATGATCGCGGCCGCTAGGCCGATTAGCCAAGTGGAGTCGGACCAATGGCACACCAAGGCAAATAAATCTACGTTTACGGTGGAGGAGTTGGAAGAGGTACGGAGGAAGTACCAAATTCCCGCGGAAATAAAGCTGAGCCTGCCCACATCGAGGGAGAGGGCATTCGATGTACGGGTGGAAGTATTCACCTTGTACGAGGAGGTGCTTCGGGGAGGTCTAAGGCTACCCCTTCCCCAAATAATGGTGGATGTTCTTAACAAGTTAGAGGTGGTGTCAATAGTGATGGCCTGTGCGAGCGCCTGGTCGCAGGCTACCGAAGGGGCGTCGATGACAATGGAGGAGTTCTTCTCCTGCTACAAGGCCTCCGGTCAACAGGAGACGTGGGTGACGTTGCAGGTAGTGGCGGGCCGGGGTCTGGTGGCGGGCTTGCCATCGTCGGTGAAAGGGTAAAGGCCGAGATGGTTCTTTGTGTCAGCGAACGGTGGGGCAAGAGTTCGCACAAAATGGAAAGTCCCCACAAAATCGAATGAGCCAAAGTTAGATGTGGCGGCCGAAAACAGTGTGAAAAAGGTGAAGGAGTGGAGGGAAAAGAAAGGGGTGAAATGGGATGAGTTGATCCTTCCTTCAACCCTGTTTGCCTTGAGATTGAGACCGCAGTCGATGGAGGCGGATCCGGTGAGAGAGGAGCTTGAGGCGTAGAAGAAGGCGAAGGAGACGGAAAAAAAGGAGAGTGTTCGCCAAAGCGGACAAATATAAGGAGACAAAGCTGGGGCCTGCCCCAAAACTGGTGATGAGGGAGCGGGTCCGACCGCATCCCAAGCCGTTGGGAGACAAAAACCTGACTGACTTTGCCCCGTTGTCACCACCCGTAGACCCACTGAAGGAGAGGAGCAAACAAGAGGTGGATGCAGTGCTGAAGAAAACAAAAAAAGAGAGAGCTGCCACTGAGGGGAGTAAGGATTCCCCAGTTTTGAAGAATTTGAAGGAGATGAGGGCGGAGGGGGACGCAAGAAAGGAGAAGGCAGATGAGGGGAAGGTGAAGGAGGCTTCAAAAAATGAGACCGTCCAAGCCGCGAAGGAAGACAAGGGTTTGAGCGCCCAAGGGGTGACGACTGTGGTAGAAGTAACCCCCAGTCTTAGCGAAGGGAAGGCTAGAACCAGCACTCCAGGGACAAGTGCTGCGCTGACGACCGCGTTGTACCACGCGCGTGCGCTGGCAGGTCGTTCGGTGGACAAAGGGGGAAAAGCCAGAGTGGCAGCCGACCGCTTGGTCGGAGTGTTAGAGGACGTTGCCGTTCGGTCGATGGCACGGCTGGAGGAGGCTGACCTCCTGAGAGGATTGCGCTCGGCCTAGATGGAGGCAGCGACTTTGGCGGCTGCCCTACTGAATAAAGCGGCGTGTGCGAAGATGGAGATAGAGCCACTGAGGGTTTAACTGGAAGGGGTGAAGGGGTAGCTCCAGAAACTAACGGAAGAGATAGTGGGCTGGAAGAAAGCCGCTCGGATTACATGTGCAAAGGGGTTGGTGAGTGTGCAAAGAGCGATGAAGATAGAAGTATTGGCGATGGTACAGGGCTACGCAGTAGAGCGTACTGGTGCTGAGCTCATCTCAACCAAATCAGAGTTGGAATCAGAGCGCCGTAAGGTGACATCGAACTGGAAGGCGAAAAGAAGCAGCTAGAGTCGGTCCGAGAAACCTGCACCACTGCCAATGAAAGGTGAGAAGAGGTTCTAGCCAATAATGAAGATCTGCGTGCTTAGTCAATCAAGGACAAGGAAGAAGTAGATCAGCAGATCGCTGAGTTGGAGAAGGCTCTGGCGGAGGAAAGGGCTAAATTGGCGTCGGAGAGAGCGGCGTACCCCGACCTGTGCAAGGCAGCGGTGGAGAAATTCAAGGAGTCTGTTGAATTCTAGATAGCCATTGATGCCGCAGTCGCCAAGAGCTTGGCGAGAGAGGGGGATGGGGGGGCTGGGCCGTCGGGAGCGGCCTCTGAAAGTAGAAGTGAAGAGGAAATGATCCAGAGCTTCCAGCGGTCGGACTTCTACAAGCATGAAATGGCTGAGTTCTGGGACAGCGGTTGGATGACCTTCAAAGATAAAGCACAAGAGCTGTTCCCAGACGTGGACTTTAGCCGCGTGAAGATACGCGAAGACGATGTTGCCTAGACCCCCCTGGACGAGGGGATTGAGGAGGAAGATCTGCTGTCTAGTGAGAAAGAGTAATCTATGTAAAAATTTTGCTTTTGTGTTTGTGTGTTTTGTGTTAGGTTTTTTTTTTTTTTTTTTTTGTGATGTGTAATTTCTGAAGCAAATTGGATGTAACCGTAAGTTTCTATTTTTGGTTTTTTTTTTTTTTTTTTTTTTGTGATGTGTAATTTCTGAAGCAAATTGGATGTAACCGTAAGTTTCTATATAAAATAACGAGCTTTCCTTTGTATCATTGTTGTCCTTATGTCTTTTGAGTTGTAAATTTGGAAGAATGGGGATGGCTGAGCAGAATGTAATGAAAAATTTGTGTGAAAGTAAGACTTGTGCGTGGATTGTGAAGCTGACTAGTAGATTGTGATGTAAAAAGTTTAGAAATGGGTAGCCAGCCTAACTTGTGAGAAAACCATGACGCAAAAAACGTTAAAAATGGGCATACATGAAAATATTAGAAATGTTAAAAATGAAAGATTGGCTTGGACGACGATGGATCTGGATTTTAACTGAATTAAAAATGTAAAATTAAGAATGTAAAACTTGCTAAAAAATTTTGCAGTATGGACCTAGATTTTAACTAAAAATGTTGTAATATGTCGAAGCATTA